GTATTAAATATAGCTTCCCCGCCTATACCCGCGCGTTAGATCAACGCTTGGACCTCGTGCCGCGGTGCGTACGAACATAAGCATCCTCCTCCCCTTGCACGCCCAAACTCAACACCGCGTTTATATCCATTCTCTCCAGTCCCTCCACCGGCAAAGGCGACTTTCCTGACCCATTGGCATCTGATGGCGTAGCTAGAGTCTCCGCAGGGATCGCGAAGAAGGCCGCAGTCTGCTCGTCCTTGTCCGGCTCCTTGAAGTTGCGCAATTGCGCTGAAATGGTCGCCATTGTCCCAAGTCCTGAGCGGGCCTATGAGGGGAGAAAGGGAAAGAGGAGAGTCAAATGCGGAAATGAGCGCTGGAGGGGGTCTGATGTTCGTGGCTGTGAACAAGCCGCGACGAGGCGCGACAGACGCGCGCCGCTGATCTCGACTTGAACTTGGACTTCCATGATTAGCAGATTACATATCCCCTTTCATCCTGCCGTAGTAACGGCTATCTGGGCGTGAACGCCAGGGCCATAAGCGTTGTGTTTTGCGGGCCTCTCGAGTGCTCTGGTATGACCTTAGTGATAGTAGATTGTCGGGTTCAACGGCATCCGATCCCCATTTTCAGAGAGATACCCGATAGCTCTGCTCTTAGGATCCTATACTTAGATACTTCAAGCTAGATAGATGCGCTCTTGTCGCTTCGCACTATATATCATTTGTTCAAGAGATGTTGGCGTAAGCAGTAGAGAGGGCCGAATTGACCGCAGCTCCTGTCCTATCCGCGCGGCAGATCTGACAGGTTATCGTAGCCGCCCAGGGCCTAAGACCTACAGGCAAGCTGGAATGTATAGGCAAATCGACTCCCAATCAAGTTCAAGCAAACAACATAACATTGCGTGTAACAGATATCGACATGGGGTGTTATATTACATCAAAATGAAGGCCTCAATCTCAATCTAGAGAGATTGTTCTAGGGTTAGGGTTAGCGCAATAAAGCGACCGAAAAAAAGGCCCGCCCAGCCCGAAGGCCGGAGCGGGACAGGAAAATATTGAGACGGTGCATGAGCCGAAGCCCATACAAACCGCGGGTTCCCCCTGAGGACAGGGTCGCCGTGCTATGGGAGGCCCCCGCGGCCCACAGCACACAGACGTGAAGGGCACTGTGCCATCAAGGTAAGTATGAGGAATTCGGGACGCGAGCCGCGCAGAAGTCGTTCGCCGCGCTCGCGCACGGACCCGGGCAAAGTCCTGTGATCGCGCGCGACGCGCCCTCGGGCCACATGCACCGACGCGACTCGTCTTCGACCATCACCAGCAGCCTCTTCACTCTAATATCAGCCCTTGTCTGTATACAGATGCGAGCGCGCCCATGGTCATGACCATGTCCGAACTTCCGGCCGAAATCCTTGCCTATGTAACAGTCATATGGCCAGCGCCGGATTCGCCCAGCGCGGACAGAATACTCTGACCTACTTCATAGCATTGATGCTTCGATACCTCCGATTACGGCCCTTCGCCCGTGACTAGCAAATACATCTCCCCAACGTGCCTCACATCCAGAGTTCGACGCGTTCTCAGATGGTGTCGAGTGGAATCTTCTGACCGCTGAGGATATCCTTTGGTAATCGGACTCCGTGAACCGCTCTCAAGTGCGATCCGACGCAATCACGCTGTGGTTCGTCTCGATATTCTGTCGCCATATGTGCTACCCGCTCTACCTATCCGTAGAGTGTTCCCCAGTCGCTAACTCCGCGTCGCATGTCGGATGTCGGTGTTAGAACAGGTGTCTTTGTCAAAGCTACTATGTGAGCGGGTCACTACCCGTGCACATCTCCGTGTCTCAATTGAACAGTAGCCCTTGTGAGCTATAGCTGTCAAGAGTTTCAGGCGAGCATCTTGTAATCGCCGCGTCGCTGATATGGCGTATTACAGATCCTGGACATAGCGAACATCATTTATATATGGTGTGCGCGACGGGCCGCAGAGCTATTCACAATCGCGCATTGTTGTCCAGAGCACGATATGTCTCAAGACGCGCTAAGCAAGTTCGCGAAGATCAAGGGCTTCAATGAGCGGCTTCAGGGACTGACGGATCGCCACGAGTAATGTCATCTTCGTCACTGACCAACTGACCACGCGTCACTGACTGCTTTTCCATAGTGTGTACCCAGGAGTTGACCCTCAGCTTGCCTTCCGAGATAGGACCTTCTCCGGGAAAGTTGTGCTCATCACAGGCGCTTCTCGAGGTATAGGCGCTGTCATAGCGACATTCTATGCACGCGCGGGAGCAAAACTCGCCCTTGTCGCGCGTACCGCCTCCAAGCTCGACGCTGTGAAGGCACAGATCGTATCAGAAGAAACGACTGCCGAGATTGTCACGTTCGCAGTTGATGTGAAAGATACGCATGCTGCTGCCAAGGCTGTTCAAGACACGGTCGAGCGGTTTGGGAGGATCGACGTGGTGGTCGCAAATGCTGGCGTCGGCCTTCCTCATGATGGCACCCGTATTCATCCCTCCTATCCCTTCTGCGAGTCGGGATGCTGACACAGTATGTGTAATCAGCGATCGGCAAGCGCGATGTTCGGCAGTGGTGGAATACGATGGAAGTGAACGTGCTGGGGACGTTGAACTTTGTCAGGTAAGTGCTCGCTGTACGCGTCGGATAGTGTAAAACTCAAGGAGTATATCTAGCCCTGCCCTCGAACACCTTCGGAAGACGAGTGGCTACGTGGTTGCTCTGAGTTCCATTGGTGCTCAGCTGCGTAACATCGGATCTTCTGACTCAGGTATGTCATTGAAGTATCTGCCCAGAGCTGTCTGATCGACTTATGTATCAAGGTATCAGCAAGCTCGCGTTGAACCGCCTTGCTGAGTTCATAGCGCTCGGTACGTCTTGATAGGGCTGCCAAGCCATCGGTGCATCCTCACATCGATAACATTCGCAGAATACAAGGAAGTGCACGCATTCGCAGTGAATCCCGGAGCTATTTGGACCGACTTGAACAAGGACTCTGGCGCTTGGAAGGACATCTTCATCGACACGCCCGAGCTGGCGAGTGCCACGATCCTGGCACTGACTTCCGGGAAGTACGATTGGTTGAGCGGGCGGTGAGTGTGCAAGACATATGGTGGCAGTGCACGGTTCTGACAAGCTTCAGGTTCGTGGACGCGACCTTGGATCTCGGCGAGGTCGAAGGGCTCCGGGAGGAGATACTCAGCAAGGATGCATTAGTTGCAAAGCTTTCACTTCCTTGAGGATAGATGGGGTAGTGCTTATAGCGATACACACGCTTTTATCAAGACATATCCTGATCCCGTTCCTATAGTAGCGACCCTAGGTGAAGCGCAGCTGGTTCTCAATAGTACCTAAATCGGAAATCGAAACCGTAACGATATCTCCATTAGTGAGCCACAACGGGTTCGGTGAACCGAGTTGCGTCCCACCCGGCCTACAGAAGTACTATCGTTAGCCTCTTTTCCCACCAGTCCTAGTACAGATACGACGCACGTTCCAGTAAAGATGATGTCACCGGGATGAAGAGTGATCCCCATCGAGAAGAAGCTCACGATATCCGCTACTCCGAATATCATATCTGCGGTCGTTGCGTTCTGTTTCATGGTTCCATTCACGAATGTCTGGAGCAACAACTGTTGAGGGTCGGGGATCTCATTTGCTAGGGTCAACGCCGGACCCCATGGTGCCCAGCCGTCTGCATCCTTGCCCATGCTGAACTGAGGCTGGGGTTCGCCACCCCGATCGATCTGCCACCCACGATGCGATACGTCGTAGCCAGTTGCGTAGCCTAGGACGTGGGAAAGAGCTTCGGAGGGATCGGAGATGTTGAAAACCTTATCTTTGATCACTACGACAAGCTCGCCTTCGTAGTCCATCGACGAGGTAAAGTTTCTGCGACGGCGGATGAGCAGGTGCAAGATGAGAAAGCGAGTACAACACGGACGTTTGGTTCTGGTATCCGGAAGTAACAGGAACGAAGTCAGTCGGTCCCGCGAGAGACGTCCACGGTTTGAAAAAGAGGATGGGGAAACTCGGAATTGTGATGTTCGTCTATTTCACTTCAGCAAGCGGTATACACCATGTCCATAAGTGGATGCGCACTTCCATATCATGAGAGCCATAGTTGAAGCCAACCTAGAGCATCGTCAAATCGTCATCGAGGTGCTCATGAGCTCAATCACCCACGCATCGAACAGAGCGTGTTCTCTCTGGCGGTATAGGCGCAAGCAGTTGTGTGATGCTCTATCCATCCAACGCTTCAGTCTCATTGACAGGTTCATATTCATGCCAGTGCGACACACCTTCACCGTGTTGGTGATGTTGAAGTCGGTGAATATGTCCCCCTGGTCACAGCCATGTCAGATGAGACCCTTTCCGAGCAAGCGGAGATGGCTGACCTCAATCACTCGTGCGCTGGTGCTGAAACGCGCGTCCGTCGAGTTCTCGGGCAAGATCGCGTCGCCAGTATACTCATTTCCATCATCGGATATGAAACGGACAATGCGCTGCGCAGAGGCGGCTACAGGGAGTAGTAGCAGAAGAGCGTTCAAGGCGCGCATGCTCGATGCTGGTTCAAGCGTTCGTGGTGCGTCGTTCTCTCTTTTGTACTTGTACTGCAGTGCAGACTCTCCAGTTGGCTGGTACGCGGGGGTATGTGGGTCATCGTGCAATGCGGAGGGTGAATACCCTCCCAGTACCTGTCAGGAGAAGAGAGGAGCAGGAATATGTAACGGCAGTCGACGTCAGGTGCAAGTTAGATTTGCGCCCTAAGGAAGTAGAAGCGGGACCGTATGACCGTGCCTGCTACGAATACAGACACGATCGTCGGCGCCAGGGTATGTCCAATCTTAGCGTCGAGTGACGAGCGAGTCGAATAAGTGCCTAAGGCACGGTGTTGGGCGCGGTGGAAGTCCGAGAAGTAGAATGTGGAGTGATCTTGTACAGCGCATGTCGCAACGGGTGATACGCGTCACTCTATACAAAGAGGTACAGTGCCACGTCTTTCGAAGTCGGACCCAAAGAGCAACACGTCTTGGTTGCGTCGGCGCTACGGTGCTGGACGGCACAAGGCGCATATGTTTGAACAAGAGCGCACTCGTAGTGCGACTGGATATGCGGTTCTGACGTATCGATCCCGAAGAGGAGTAGAGGGAAGTGTCGTCTTCAAGTGTGCTGATATTCTTGCAGAGAAGTGGCAGCATTAAGTGCATGTATTCCGTATGCCGCAGACGACCACGGCGGTTGGGGAAGAGTCGCAGGCCGACTCGCAAGACGACGGGGGCGCGCCGGCCCGGGCTGGCCCGGGCTACACGCGCCCACACACTTCCTCTTCTGACGCTCATCTCGAGTGCGGCAAATGTCAACCTATACTGCCCCCGGCTTCTCGGACCGCCAGTTCATCCTGCGTGCACAACTCGGCAGGTCTTCTGGCTTATCTGTGTGAGCCTCATGTACCAGAAGTAAGCCGTCGACAGTGGATACTTATCCGTAGGATCTGCAGACGGTGTAGATTATCCCAGACCCAGATTCACTGACGGGAACAGTGATCGCAGGCGTCCTCACCCAACCAGAGCTCGGCATCACCCTCCCACGACCGCCTGAGCCGACTGGCAGGAAGCACTCTGAGATCTAGAATAATCTACACCAGCTGGGATTCCTACGGATAGGTATCCAGTGTATGGGGAAGAGGTTGAACATCAGATCGTCTGCAATTCTGAGCGCCAGCACACTTTGTTCTGGTAGTCCCCGGCGGCTATAAAGCTATTCACCCTCTGGGCACCTCGCGGCTGTGACGCCGAAGGCGGCGCGCCAAGACAGCTCGCTTGAGCTTGCCTATGTCTCCGGTCATCTCGGCGTACCGGTCTACATTTCATCAAAGAATCACGTCGCCGAAGGGAGGCCCGCCATATACCAGTGTTCTTCTGTCAAAAGTGGTCGGACTGGTACTATCTACTTTTCAGACAATGGAATGGCCATACATTGCCGCCTTATCATCCCGGGGAATCCGGTTGTCTACAACGCCGTTCCAGAAGGCATCATCCTGCTGCTCGACCATGAGACCACGCTGTGCCGCCTCCGGATGATCATGCCGCCCATATGCTGCCCAACGCGCGAATCGGCGCAATCGTCGAACGAAGATACGCGAGCGACGCGACGTATATAAGGCCTACCGTTTATGGATTGCACTGGCCGGGCGATCCCTGACCTTCCGAGCGCGCTCTCCCGTTGTTGTCGTCATGATTGGCCTCTCGTTCGTCCTGCTCGCAATGGCGGCCTCGCTCACGGCGGCTACACCCACGCCCGAAGCGCGCTGGGCTAACATGCAGGTCAAGCATGCATGGGAGCGTTTGCCTGCGAAGTGGTCCGCGCGCGGGCTACCGGAGGATGGGACCACCATCGACCTGCGCATCAAGCTCAAGTCACACGACAGCGACGCGATCATCAAGGCGCTGTACGAGGTCAGCGATCCCAAGAGCGCGAGGTATGGGTGTTGCGCCCGCGTACCGGCTGTTACTGACATTGAGATGCAGCTACGGCGACCACCTGAACAAGGACGAGGTCGCCTCGCTCGTCGCGCCTCACCCCGACACTCATAGCATCGTCTCTGAGTGGCTCGAGGACCATGCCATCCCGGCTGACACCGTCCGCCCCGTGCTTCACGGCGACTGGCTCATGCTTGAGGCCGTCCCCATCTCCACCGCAAACACTCTGCTCGGCGCGTCGTACGAGATCTTTGAGAACCTGGAGACGGGAGACAGGGTCCTTCGCACGACGTCGTACTCTCTCCCCGCGGATCTCCACGACCACATCTCCCTCGTGTCTCCGACTACGTTCTTCGGCGGCATGCGCCCTATGAAGACGACGTATCATCTGGAGCCCGAGGCGCCCATTGTGAAGGAGGACTCGGCTCTGCGCGCGGAGGTTCTTTCTACGGGCGCTGTTCCGTCTTCTTGCGCTTCGAGCATTACCCCGGCGTGTCTGCAGGCCTTGTATAACACTACCGGATATACGCCTAAGGCTACTGATGTCAACGTTCTCGGTGTTGCCGGGTATGTTGAGCATTACAAGTGATTCTCACGCAATGGCTGATGATGTGTTGCAGATACCTCGACGAGTACGCGAACTTCGCTGACCTTACGACCTTTGCGAAGAAGTACTTGACCAACGCTGCGGATGCGACGTTCACCGTCGTACAGATCCAGGGTGGTGGCAATGACCAGAGTGACCCCGGTGTGGAGGTATGTCGCTCTTCGAATGACTTGGCGCTTCTAGCACTGACAGGGAACAGGCCAACTTGGACATCCAATACACCACTGCGGTCTCGTACCCCACCCCTCAGATCTACTACAGCACCGGCGGCTCGCCTCCCTTCGACCCGTCCGAGGGTACGCCGACGAACACGAACGAGCCGTACCTCGACTTCCTCGATTACCTTCTGTCCGCGGACACTATCCCGCAGACCTTGACCACCTCCTATGGTGACGAGGAGTAAGCCACACCTATGACTTGGTGGAGTGGACTGGGGCTGATGTATCGTAGGCAAACGGTACCGGAGGACTACGCCGTTGAGGTGTGCAACCTCTTCGCGCAGCTTGGCTCCAGGGGCACGAGTGTCATGTTCAGGTAGGGCATGTTGTTCAGTAAACATGTAGCATCGTGACTGACTCAGTCTCCACCTCTAGCTCCGGAGATGAGGGTGTTGGTAGCGACTGCGTGACCAACGACGGCACCAACACAAGGAAGTTCATACCCGAATTCCCGACCAGCTGCCCATACGTCACGTCCGTCGGTGCCACCAACGGTACGCTTCCATCGCTATAGCTCGCAAAGACATAACTTATCACTTTTTGAACCAGGCATCAACCCTGAGAAGGCCGTATCCTTCTCTGGTGGAGGCTTCAGCAACTACTTCGCCACTCCCTCGTACCAGAGCAGCGTTGTAGCCTCGTACGTGAGCAGCCTCGGCACGACGTACTCCGGTCTGTACAACAAGACCGGCCGCGCGTACCCGGATGTCGCTGCGCAGGGCGTCAACTTCCAGGTCGTTATTGGCGGCCGTACTAGTGGGGTCTCTGGCACGAGCGCTTCGTCTCCGGTGAGTTGATACTGCAGAAGTGAGGTTACGAGATGACTGACTCGTACTTCTATAGGCCTTCGCCGGTGTTGTGAGTCTCTTGAACGACTACAGGCTCTCGCAGGGCAAGTCCAGCCTTGGCTTCTTGAACCCCTTGTTGTGAGCTTTTTGCACTTGTCAATGAGAGCGCATTGCCTGATGCCGAGACATAGCTACTCAACTGCTGCGTCTGGCTTCAACGACATCAGTGAGTGCCGTCCTGACTTCACACCGATGCGACGATACTCACATTCATTTCTAGCGAGCGGCTCAAACCCAGGATGCTCGACCAACGGCTTTTCGACTGCAAAGGGCTGGGACCGTGAGTGGCATACGATATTCACTCATATATTGGAGCTGATTGCATTCCTCGTAGCCGTGACGGGTTTGGGCACGCCTAACTTCGGGAAGTTGCAGACACTCGTGTAGAGCTGTATATCACGTTTTTGTGGTACATCTCGTATCCTGTACATACGGCCTGAAGGAATGGCAGACAATGAACTTCAGGGAATGAGCGTGATCATAATCTGGCCAAGTGTAGCTAGTGTTTCCAAGCTTCTGATACCTCGCTAATCGATCCAGCACGAGGTCTGACCAGAACGATATGGTTATCTCGATGACAGGTGACTTTATAAAAAATCCTGGTGCGCGAGAGCTCATGCGAAACGCGTCCCACGCTTGACGTCTGGAAGGCTGATTTGATGGATAAACAAGAAAATAATTACGGTGCGAGCGCTCAAGCGGCGAGGTTGAGTGGCGCGTCTCGTACAGCGCCAAAGAGACAACGGGCAACGTTTCGCGCCTTTAGTGGTGCGCGACGATGGTGGTACGATGGCACGACGCGATCTGCGGATTGGTCGCCACGGAGAAAAGGCACGTGGGCGCGACGGATGCAAGGATCGCAAGTTGAAAGAGAGAACGCGTTGGAGACGCGCTCATTGCCTTCTGCGACGACCTCCACACTGCTTAGACTATATTCCCATCTTCTATAACGACCTGTATACGACGACCAGATGTTCAACTTTACATTCTCATTTTCCGTGCCGGGCGTGCCGAACCCGTTCTCGTATGCGCCAGCGGAGGAGCCGGATCGAGACAGGAAGACCCCTGCCGTCGCGCCCTCTGCACCCCTTCGTAGGCCGCACCCGGCCACCCTGCCGCCGGCGCTGCCGCTGAGCAGGAAGCGGGGCTGGGTGCCGAGCGAGCCGGAGGTCAGCCAGGCGGCGACGATCCCCGCGTCATCGAGCGGCTATTTGGACACCCCTGCGAAATACCGCGACTTTACGATCACGCCCAACGTGCGGGTGGAGGACGAGGTGGAGGAGATGGTAGCCGGTAAGTCTATTTCCGTTCTGGTGGTGGCGGTGGCGCGCGCGGTGGAGGGGAGGCAGACGCGGCATTTCGGTGCCTGGCCCGCGCGATGGCTCTTGGCCTCCGACCGCGACGTCGAATATCTTGGTTTATCGCCCTCACCCTCTCTGCCATGGCCTGTGTGCAGGCCGCGGCTGCATTTCTTGTCTTTTATGTGCTCGTAACTGTATTTCTGCTCGTACTCATGCTATGTATCCTCTCCCTCGCGCACCTCCTCCCCGCAGATCTCCCTCCCGCAAAGCGCCGGCGCACCCTCGCAGGCTCAATTGTCTCCACGGCCGTGTCTGCGGCGCTTATCGGCACTGCTGTTGGCCTCACCGTATACCGTCTGTGAGTACCAATGTCTACTTTTGGTACTGAACCACAGCTAACCAGCCACGCGGAGATTCAGCTGGCGAGACCGCGGCAAGGATGGCGGCCAAGACGGCGTGCCCACAGAACCTCCCCCACCCTACGCTCGCGGTGACTGGCCGCACGGCGACGAGCAACACCACCATTCCGTACGTCCCCGCCTATTTTCTTATCGTACCACATTATAGTTCTCATCGTCCATCACCTGCAGGCGCGCCACGAGGCGAACAACCTTCCTGCAGTGAATGTTGTTCCGCCCACCCCGAATGCTGGCAAGCGAGCAAGGCGTACGGCACCAGTTGCTGGCAAGCGTACGCCTATCCGCCAGCGCCGCCCTCGCCCGACTCTTCAGCCGACTGTTGCCGCAAGACCTGCATTCGCCCGCGAGCCGAGTCCCACGCCCTCACTAGCGCGTTCGCCTGTTCGTCCCGAGTTCAACTTCTCTTCCATCCCAGCCGACCTGCCAGACGAAGCGGAGGATCAAGATCCCGACGAGTCGGTACGTAGCGCCTTCTCTTCTCCCGTCCGAAGTTTGATGAGCGCCCGTTGACACATTCCGTCACAGATGGACTGGATGGGGGATAGGCTCGCTCAGTTGATCGCGGAAGGTCAACGCGCGTTGGGCAAGGAAGTCGTGGTCACTTCCGAAGCGCCTGAAGACGAAGAAGACGATATGTCCGGCGCGTGGGACGACGAGCCCGAACCGTCACTATCCGCCGCATCATCTCCCCGTCGTTCCCAATCCAACCGGTCCCGCCGTCGTCGACCTGCAGCGCTCGGTATCCCTAGCGCATTCACTGCAAGTACATCGGCCTTGCCGTCCCCACCAATGTCCGCAACCTCGTCAACCTCGGCGTATGCTTCGTCGATGTCGATGTCGGTTCCGATGATGGGTCACGAGCGCGCAAGAAGCGAAGGCGCCGGACTCGGGTTCAGCGAGGACTCATCAAGCTGGCAGAGCGCGGAGATGCGTGAGAGCATGGAGCGCGCGCGGGCGCGGCTGCTCGCAAGCCGTGCGCGCTGATGCGCAACACAAAACCCATGCTCTCCGCTTTCTATGCCCGTATCTTTTCTGCTGCCGCTCTGCTGGACCTTGCGACGAACCCCATGACGAATAATGACGCTTGCTACAATTAGGTATACTCTCACATCCTCTCCTCATCCTCAATCCTGCTGTATCTTTATCTCCTGGGCGCGCATCGCGGGCCCGATGCGCTTTGCAGTTGTCACTGCGTACATACTCACCACCACCACTTCACCTGCTTCATGCTTCCAACCATTGCTCCTGCTCCTTCCATCCCGTACCGCGTACGCTCACACTCACAATGCTTGTCACATCCACATCACATCACTATGGTTTCTCAGTTTCTCGGCTCTTTCACAATACGTACGGTTAGAAGGTTTTTGTCATGGAAAGACGGTTTCGGAGTTGTAGTAGTTTACGATTTCTTGGCGGACGCTCGATGAAGCGCATTCATGCTTGATATTCGCCGGAGGAACCAAGGAGGAACCATCTCTCATGGCCCAGCGCCCAGAGGCTGACTGAGACCTTGGTGCCACAGTCCACACTTCTTCTGATATTTTCTGCTATATCGCTCCAGCCACATCGGCTACGGCGCCGTATGCGTCCGCCTTACGCTTGTCCTTCTCCCGCCTGATCTGGAGATAGACAAAGGCGACTACTATCTCGTCCAAGTCGTTCAGTACACGAGGATCGTCGCTGAACTCGAGGTACGCTGGTTCTTTCGCGCGTCGTCGGAATATTTGCCGGGAGCGAGAGTGTGCGTGGCCGACTTCCGGGCCGTTGAAGAGGCGAAGCTATATTGGCGTCTTGAGCAAGGGTGGATACAGTAGGTTTGGAAAGCGGGCGCACCTTCCACGCCCTACTACTCATCTTCCATTCGTACGTCTGGTTGCTCGTGCAGGTGAAGATTCTGCGCCTGTCGTGAGGCCATAAGCATTGTGGCTCATCGGTTCGGACCCGGGCCGTCTCTCACCTTGACCACCATGAGGGTTTGGTCAAGTACTTCTTCGCTTTGAGCTTACGCCCGTGGGTCTCGATGGTATCTGCGCTCCAGCTACGGAACCGAATAACGGCGAGCGTGGTTGAAGACTTGTCGAGCTTGACTATCTCTGTCTTGCGCCCGACTGTGCTGGATGTCGTAGCGTATAGCTGGCGTCCAGACTCGTCGAGCAGAACGGTATCGCCGATATGATCGGTTGTGTAGATGAGGCGCATGTCACAGTCGCATGATATTGGGGGAAGGTTGCGGAGGATGAGAGTCTCGGTGCACGGTCCACCTATATATGCGTTCTTTTTGGACTCGTGGCTACTCGAATCAGTACGCGTGATCTCGCTGATATGTGAAGATGGTGTGTACTAGTTTGCTTGGCATCTCACATCAACAACTGCGGTACAAGTGCCACCTACACCGCAAATCGGCCAAATCCTGAGTCTAACGTGACGTTGATGGGTGACGCTGATCTGGATGAGCAGCTGGATCCGAGCTGACGCGGGGAAGAACGCAGCGCGA